CGCCTGGTTTGTGGAAAATGAATTTGCTCCAGAAACAGCAACCTCCTTCACGCACCACACAAAGCCTCAAATTTATTACACTAAATAAAACCGCAGGCTAGGTTTGATTTATCTATCAAAGCATAAACTATGATGCTTGATTCCCCCTTCACCAACCATGGCTTGTTCAGTTTTGGACTTAGAGGGATGTGCACATTTAGCAAGCTAAATCCAGCAGTACATAGTTAAGTGAAACGTGTCTTAGAATGCAGCAGATTTTCCGAATTTTTCTTCATGAATCTTTCTTCCAAACTCCCCTTCCCGTTCTGCCTTATAGACAGATCGACCCTTGGAGGCTTGAAACATTTGAGTGAAGATGAGGAACTCTGGTGTGCCGATGAAGGCTCGAAAAAAGCCGGATGGTGAGCTGCGTTTTCATTTGTTAGGATAACAGAACAAAATCAGATTCTCTACAAGAATCTGAGCTACTAACGGTCAAAGTGAAATTGGCGGTAGATAAGGTGAACGGATGGACTAACTTAGTTCTTTGTGGGTGCGGAGAGTTTTGAGACTCATGATGCTCTTGACTCCCTCCCTCAGTCTGGAGAAGCAGTTAGAGTAACAGAGGTGGAAGGGACTTTCGAGGTCTTCTAGTCCGACCCCCTGCTCAGGCAGGAAAGCCTATAGCATTTCAGACAAATGGCTGTCCAATCTCTTCTCAAAAACCTCCAGTATTGGAGAGTTGTTAGTATGTTTTTTTTCCCCAAACTGTCAAAAAACACGATAGCCAGAAGCTTTAGTGTTTTTAAGGGGACTGGACAAATTTGAGAAAGATGAGAAAAGTCCTGCCAATGGTGTGTATCACATCTCTGCTCCATCCTTATACGCGCTAATAAAAAGAACACCTATTTACTGTTAGCTTTTAAACAATGGAAACAGCTTTTATTTTTGTGTATGCGTATAATGGTGGAGCAGAGATGTAACAACATTCCTCTTGTGGCCCGCCAGCAGCCAGCAGAGCTGACAGCAGATTCGGGCAGTGAGGAGGTTGGGGAGGAAACCTGGGCCAGTCCTGGAGTCTGGGGAAGGCTCTGAGGAGGGCCTGTGTCGGAGGCAAAGAGGAGGCCAGGGCCGTCTGACAGTTATCAGCTGCCTTCGGAGTC